TTTTCACGCAGAAGGACACGTTAATTCAGGGTGGTTAACAAGTGGAAATTATTGATTAATATGGAAACATTGAGAATAGGGATGAATTTATGAAAACTAATTCACAATTTCAGAAAATTCTTCGATTACAGTTCAAACTGTACCAGTAAACGTTATGTATTCCTATAATAAAAATAATATGAAAAATATCATCTGATTGAGTTTGAAAAAATGTACCTAGATATGCAATATGAATCAATTCTGAAGAATGGTTTGGGTAATATCATTATCTAATGATCAGCATTGTTTTTACGGTCGCACCTTATGGCATAACAAATCGGCGTTTGGATACAAATTAGACCGTCGATGCACTGATTGCGATACAATACAACACAGCCGTAATAACTTACCGGTTACTACTGTCGAATGCGAATGAAAGAATACTCTGTTGTTTCATACTGCCTTCGTTTCTGTTCTGTACATCAGTTTAGAGTCTAGTTAGAATTTTCGTTATTTTAAATTTTTTCGGCCCATAGTTCAGTTGTTTTAGTTCTCGAGTTCAACTTCTCCATCATTGAATTACAATCGAATAAAAATTCACTGTTTTTTTATTGAAAATTTCCATAAATGTATATATAGTGTGTAAGTTCATTACATTATTGGTACCGATACCTGTTACAATTTGTCTTAAGTTCTTCCATCAGCATTTTTCCTTGATTTTATATGAAATTGCTAAACTAATCTACCATTTCCATCGTGAAAAGAATAATAATACCTGCCATAAATTTCTGTTCAGTGCAGTGTATAGATAAAAAATTCAGTGAGCATTCCATCTATTCTAAATTTTGGGTGGGTATATTCTGCAAGATGGGTAAGAAGCAAAACTAGATATCGCAAATAAGACTTTACGAAGTAGTTGGTAGAGAATCACGTGAATTTTGCAATTCTTATCAATTGAATGAGAAATTCGAATATGCAATCTCAGTGAGTATTGCCTCATCTTTGAAATACACAAAATATGGATTTCCGAGTGTCATATCTCGTATTATAAACGAAACAGAGAGCTTCAAATCATATTTCCTAAACAACTATTTCCCAGAACAAAATACAAATGAAAAAATATCATTCAACGGTGTCCTGAGATGTCCACTTTTGGCTAATAAGGCAGATCTAGGAAAACACTGTCGATACTGGAGAGATGAACACTCAATTTATAAAACCCTCTGTAAAGATATGAAGATCAAAAATTCCCTCCGTAATAGGAAAAGAATTCATAATGCCTGGAAAAGATTCGAAAATTACGATCAGACGATTTCCGAAAATGATATCCATCCTCAAACCACTGACCAGATTTTCATAGACAAAAATTATGAATGTAGAAATATGTTCCCTTCTGAAACATTCTTGAACGATGAAGGTATTCATAGTTCGACCATAATTGATGAACGAAAAATTCTTTATGATGAGTTTATCGGATCATGTCAATTTGATAATCAAGATGATGTGGAAGAAGAAGAGTATTTGGAAAATGGTGAGACTTCCACGCTGATGCCAAAAACTGTTCGGAAAACAGATCAGACATATGTTGATAAGCCCGAAGGGAGATTCAGTTTCAATAAAAAATCGAAGACAGACGGGTGTATTATGGTATCTGGATCCAATTCGGCTAGCTCCGGCAAAAACAATTCAGTCATGAATTATAACCCTGACACATTGCTTGAAGATAGTGAAGAAAATCCGGATATCACTCCAGAAACGTTTGATATTCCTTCTGTTTTATTGAACTTATCGAGTCCAGGAAAATCGTCCGACTTATTACCTTTAAACTCGAAAAATGCACGTTCTAATGTTTAGAACTCATTTATAATAATACATGTATTATCATTTTCAATATGTGAAGTATAACAAATTGAATAAATCAGTAAATATATTTGCGGTATGTAAACACGACAAATATAACTGTAAAAAGTTCAAGATTAGCATTCAGGGCCAATTAGCAAAAGTGTTCAGCACTTCATTGGATTTCAATCATTCAACATATTTAACAGGTCACGTGAAATGTTTTGAACGGTCGTTAGTGAAAAAAAAAAACTAATACATGAAATGCCTCTCAACTACAAGCAGAAAACATTCCTGGAGGCGAATGAAAAATTACTGAAAGATAGAAAGTCTTTACAAAATATGAAATCCGATGCTGTAGTCCGAAAAATAAAATCAGAAGAGATGGGTCAATTGGATAAAAGCAAAAACGAATTACTTGACATCATTCTCATGCAAACCGATCATCCAGAATTCATAAAAGAGGTGCGCGTACCATTCAACATCAAACTATATAGTTATGAACAACTTGAAGTACTAAAAAATGAAAACCAAAAGAGCGGTATGCTGTTTATATATTTTGATGCTTCAGGAGGCGTCGTTCGAAGTCCTATTCCTAATTCAAATAGAATATATTTTTATACAGTCGTCATTAGAATAGGAAAACCAAAGAGGATATATCCGGTTTTTTTCTATGATATCGTCAACCCATGATGTCAATTCTATATTCAGAATCATGAGCGATTTTCATTATTTCTGCGAAATCAATAACTACTGGCCAGCATTTTCTGGAGAGGTATCTGATTTCAGCTTTGCTAATTTACACGCTATAAGCAAAGCTTTCAACAGGTGTTCTCTTCTCGAGTATCTTCAAAAATGTTATATTTTGAATGAAAATGGTCAGAATTCAAAAGACGAATCTTTGTTGTGCACATTACATGAAAATGGTTGCGAAATATGTTAATAACCTAGCAAAGAATGAAACACAACAGACTTTCTTGAAGGATCTCATAGCTGCCTTGATCTTGATGAAAACGATAAGAGAATCTGATATTGCTACCCAGGTAACACGGTACTCTCCGCGATATCTCTAAGTAGTTATCTTCAGGATCAAAATGCGAAATCCTTCTGCGAGGTATCAAAGATCACTATAGGCTGTCACCATGGGAAATACTCTCTGGAGTCGTCCGAAAGAAATCGCGGAGATCTCGCCTCAGATTTGATATATTCCTCATTATTGCGAATACTTGAGGTTATCTATAACAGGAAATGAATAGGCATTTCTTTCTGCGAGCACCCAAGGATATCCTGGACGTAACAAGATCGAGAATTTCCCATTGCGAGCTCCTAAAGTAATCACACACATAACCTGAATAATTAATGAATATTACTACAAAAATATTGAGTTGTTTTTTTCAATAGCCTTTATAATTCAAATACTGGGTGTCCCAAGTTATCGTTTACAGGCAATATCTCGCCTATTTGTCAAGATATCAAAAGCATTAAAAAACTGCATTAAATGGCATTAAATAACCTTCCTAATGGCTTATGAAGAATGTGATATATTTGGCATCCCCCGGATGGTAGATACTGATCTAGTAGCATATTGTCTCTGAAAATTGCTTTCACCCATGTGTTCAAGAAGTTCACAAATTAGAAGTATGGATTGCATTTTTGTTTCAAAATATTAATGACAGATATTCCATTTTGAACTGCAGAACATCAATCATTGCAGACGGTACCTACCTAGTGTAATAATTAATCTAATTTCATTGTGGGACATTTTTACGAACAAGAGAGGAGGCAATTTTCAATCGATGTAACGTAAATGAGGTCATACAATTTTATTGTTAATGTTGTTATTAATGAACAAAATACAGAGTACCGATGTGCTATCGTTCATTCCCGAAATAGGATGATTGGCAATTTTCAATGACAATATACAGGGAGTCCATCAAATGAAAATTGAGGAGTTGCTAAAAGGTGGCTTTCCAATCTTATACACTTTTTTTTGAGTCATAAAGAAAGTTCTCTGATGTCATTTGAAGCATTTTTACTATTTTTTGTTCATCTTGTCGGGTAAGCAAGTTTTTGCCGGTACCTTTACGATAACTTGGGACACCCAGTATTTACATGAAATGGGAGTCATTAATCTATGATAATAATAATTGTATACTAGATACTAGATTTTCTTACTGATTATTCCAAATTTTGCAGTGAATTAATGATAATTAATTATCTGCTCTGACGAAAAAGACAAAAATGTTCTAATTCAGGTGGGATCGAGAATCAAATATCTACCTCAAATTCGTGGGTAGATATCGGACGACCTTTTTTTTAAAGGATACCCGGCCAACTCCTCGGAGATTTTTTCAAGTGATGAAGTTTACTTGATCAATGTCTTGCTATAGAATAATATATAATTAAAGCTCATTACGTTGATCTAACTCTAAGTTTGGTACCTCAATCTTTTTCGCCGAAACAAATATCCAGTAAATTTAACTCCACCCCAAACAATATAGCTGGCGCTAGTTAGACTTCGCCGACAGGAGACTGCTGATAACCAATGACTTCTCAAACATTGAACACCTTACCATATTAGTGAAGATCATGTGGCGATTGATGCAAATATCGCTCTTAAAGGCCTCGTTATAAGGTGATGTGCACGGATTCTTGAACAATTCATAGTTGCGAGCACTTGAAGAAGTATTAGTATAATTGATGCGAATTTCCCAAAGTTCTCTTCACAAGGCGATGCGTGCGAAAATCTCAAACAGCTCGTAGTCGCGAGCACTTAAAGACCTCGCCAGAAGCAATTGATGCGAATCTCCCAATGTCCTCGTCACAAAGCAATGTATGCGAATTTCTCAAACAGCTCATGATTGCGAGCACTTTCAGTTATCGCCAGTGGCGATGGAAGCGTATATCTCAAAGTGCGCGCCTGAGGGCATTGTATGAGAATTTCTGCGTGCGATATCTTCAAGACCTCGCTGAGCTCAGCCTAGGTGGCGGACATTTGGCCTAGATATAGCACTCTCGGCGATCTCTCATAGAAGTTACAAAAGGCATCACAATTTCCTAAAAGGATTTCTTCAAGATATCTTTAGGACTTCTTCGTGCTGGCTGGGTATTAAGTATGTCTACATATTACTGAAAACTGAATTCGTTAATAGGGACACTGAAATTGCAATATATTCTCTCAGAATGCACTTATCGAAAAAAGCAGATCAGGATCACTTCGACGATGAGAAACTCGATGACTACGAAACAAGAAATTCGAAATCAGGCGGTCTTATGGAATCAAGTCCCTATTATAAAAAATTCTCGCAGATAACCAATTCAATCAAATTGGATAATTCAACAGGAGCCGAGGACAATCCATTTCATAATGATGCGTTCATGGATTTGATATTATATAAGTATTTACCTCTCTGCTCACTTTGGAGTGCTCTCATGTTGACAGATGAACGTTCTGTGAGCAATTCAGTGGTCGAAAACTATTTTGAGCAATTCAAAAGAATTAGATTAGGTGGTTCGAGGAATTTAAGGTGTTCTCAGTTTGTACGAAAATTGAGAGAAGATGTTGTATCCCTTAAAATCGAAGGCTGCTTAGATATTGGCAAGAGTCGATTGACAATAGGGGACCCATTTGATGAGAAATTATCGAAAGAAGAATGGAATAAAAAACCAAACAAACATACGAGTACCCATTTTGAAGGTAGATTCCTCAAGATAGTGAAGAAGGAGAAGGATAAATTATTCAATACCAACATGATTTTTCCGGAAGATGATGATGAATTACCATTTTGTGCTTACTGTGGTCATGGAATTGTCGATGAATGTACTGCCTGGGTGAAATGCGATGAATGTGAAAAGTGGATTCACCAAATGTGTGTCAGTAAAGATCCAAATCGTACATTTAGTGGGACTTCCAGTTGCCAACTTTGTTCACTAAATCAGAATAATTCGATTCATATGGAAAATGTTTTCGATATTGCATTCAAATGTGAATTTTTCTTGAATTTCATTACCTTGACTAAAAAAGAAATACAGGCATTGGGAATGAATACACGTGAACAGAGACATTGTCCGAGATGGTACGAAGAGAGGAAAATAAGAGTAACTGCATCATATTTTGGTCGAGTATGCAAGGTACTTGATTATTCTTCGTATCCCAATATTATAAATACAATAGTCGAACAGAAACCCATTTATTCTCCTACAATAGATCATGGAACTAAACATGAAAGTGTAGCAAGAAATGAATATATTAAATCAACAAGCTCTCATTGTCAAGTAGCAGGTCTCACTATACACAAGGAATTTTCTTTCATTGCTGCTTCTCCAGACGGTTTACTAGGTTCGGATGGAGTCATTGAAATAAAGTGTCCTTTCACAGCACGACATCAAGATCCTTCGACCGCAAATTTCGATCTTCCCTGTCGTGACAACTCAAATATTTCACAAAATCACAACTATCATTACCAGATTCAAGGAATACTTGAAATTACAGACAGGAACTAGTGTGATTTGGTGATTTACACCTTCAAAGGTATAAAAATTGTGCGGATTTATAGGAACAAACGTTTTTGGAATATCATGATTAAAAAGCTCACTGATTCCTACTATAAAACTGATATTCTTCGAAAATGGTCTCGTAGCAAATAGTCTGATCATAAGGAATTGAAGAACAAGAAAAGAGGATATATCGTTACTAAAAATATCAAAGTTGATTCCTCGCTGAAAGAAATAATGATCATTGTTTGTGTATTTTGAATTCACCATTCGAAATATATCGAATAGTTTCAGTAGCTAAATCCTCTATAATTTTTAGCGATGACACTATGCTTCCGAGCTTCATTGGCAGCATTCAATTAACTAAGAATGATATTATACTACCAGTAGCAAGACATAACCATTTCGTTTTAGTGATATTGAATATTCCAGATGAAACATTGACGCTTTTAGACCCTCTAGGAAATGAGCGATCATTTGAAACTTTTTATATGGCCAGATTATTGAATTTTCTTCGCATGAAAAACATGGATATAAAAAATTGGAAATTCAAAACTTTAGATCATTTGACTCAAACAGATAATTGCAATTGTGGAGAATACGTGATATACTTTTTTTCTAAAATTGTTAGACAACAACCTTTAACGGGTGATGCATGCATGTCCATGTACAGACAGGATTTGAAATGGCTGTTATTGAAAAATAGCTCCACTATGTCAGATAAATGCCTCTTCTGTTCGGAAGATGTTAAAATTGACGAAGGTCAATTCCAATGTACAACATGCCACCGGTACATTCATGAAAACTGTTTGAGGTCTCTTAATGAAATTGAAGCCGGAGTAACACTGAACGAAAGAAAAACCAATCAAATGTGTGAATTGTGTCGTATTTATTGAAACATATGACGTATATTCAATGCATCATAGATTCATTTTATTTATGTTTTCAAGGGTATCAATACTAACTCTTCGACATTCCCGAAGAGAGTTTTCCCTAGTTTTTAGTTTACTCATATTTATGTACATACATATTATGAAATATTGGGTTCTTGTTTCTTTCCTACTACTTGATTTTGTTCCCTATACGGGCGTTAATAGTAACCCAATTTCGAAAAGAAATCTTTATCGTTCTCAGTTTTCTCATATTCATGTGAATATGATGTGATATTATCAGCCTGTCTTCTTGTTTCCTCCCAAAGAATTTGATTTCATTCACTATGAGGGTGTGAATACTTAGCCTTTTGCGCAAGTTATGTCATGTCAAAGCCCTAGAATTGCTGAATCCGATCGACCTCGAGTTAGACGACCCCAGTATTTCCAAGATCCTGCTAACCCGAGATCGCTGACTAAACATTAAGCACTTTGTCGAACATAATTTCCCATGTAATTCAGATCAGATTGAAGGTAGACTTTGAAGTAAACGTTTGTTTCTGTATTTCCGAATAAAAATTGTTTTTTAAAAACTCTTTCGTGGTTTGCCAACACTTAACTGGCGCAGTCGGTAGGATATTCGTCAACGGTAGAAGACAAAAATCGCTAAAACCGGTCCGTTTCAACGGTTAATTGACGATTTTCCGAAAAAAAATCCCTAAAGTTCCGGAAAGTGAAAAAGCCGGTCGGTATAGACTAACAGTTTTCATCAGTGCTGGACTAAAGGGTATTCACGAACACAGTGCTTGAAAAACCACAGGAAATACACCAGGGTGAAGTTCCACTTCAACGACACCTATTGGACTCTAGATTAGGAAGACCTGGGACACAAGAAGCAATTTCAAGTTCCTATAGGCGTTAGCTGTAAGAAGAAAGAAAATCGTAGGATGAAGATATTTCTGCTAATAAAACTGTAAGTGTTCGTTCCTTTCTATTCTCAAATTTTCTCCCATATTTTCCACACCATTTTCGGTTTCGAGTTGAATTATTAGAATTTTCAAATCAACTTGGTTATTTTTATGTCTCATAGATTTGTCGATATAGAATCAATAACTTCTGGGCTATCATCTATCGATATTAACAGTGAAACAATGCCAAATCTAGAACAAAGAGTCGATATCGGCCTGATGAGATATCAGTCAGATAATATTCCGTTATTTGACGGAAATCCGAAACAATTAGGTAGATTTCTCAGCGCTTGTGAAAATTTTCTTAAAGCTTTCCAGAACGCAGAAAACGTAAATGACCCTCTTAATATTATTTTACTCGATACAGTTCTGAATAAACTCAGAGATCGTGCTGCCGATTTAATTGGTTCGAGATCTGAACTTAAAACATGGTCTAGCATCAAAGATGCACTCAACCTAACCTTTTCTGACCAAAGAAGTATTGATTGCCTTATTCAAGACCTAATAAATCTCAAACCGCAAAGAAACGAAACGCCATTGCAATTTGGAATGAGAATCCAAGACGCTCGTAGTTTGCTTTTTTCAAAATTAAATGCTTCAAATAAATCTCAAGCCGAAAAACTTTTGACTATACAACACTATGATAATTTTGCTCTCAAAACTTTCATAAGTGGATTGCCATATCGAATGCAACTAGTTGTGAGATTGCGAAACCCAGACAGTCTTGAACAAGCTCTAGCAAATATCACAGAAGAAGAAAATTTTATATATTTTAATACAGGACGTAATCAAAACCTTCAGACTTCGAATTATCGGTCACAACCACGAATCAATTCAGTTTATTCAGGTAACAGACCCTCTCAGCCACCTCAATATCAAATCCAACAAGCAAGACCTACATTCCAAAATTTTCAACCGAATTCGCAACAAAACTTCCAACCAAATTTTTAACCGAATTATCAATACAACCCACGACCATTCTTCCAGAGCTCTCAAAATCATCAACAAAACTTCAGACCACAAACATTTCCCAATCCTAGACCAATGACACAAAATCAGAGACCATTATTCCCAAATTGGACACTCAGTTATAGATTCCCATCAACCAGTCAAAATTATAGACCTAATTATTCAACAAGAACTCAAACTCGAGTGACACCTATGGATACAAGTTCAGGAAATACCTCACTCAAACCAAAACCACATGCCTCTTATACGTTTGACGAACTTTATACACAAGAAATTAACGAGGGTCCTTATTCGGCAAATTCTGATTATAATAACAAACATTCCGAGAATACCGAACAATTCGGAGAAGAGTGTTCAAGCGCTTATCTGGCAATGCCAAATTATTGCCCAAATAATCTGTGGTACTCATCAGAAAACTATGTAGATTATTCTAACTATCCTCATCAGTATGACAGTTCTCAATCATACGAACAAGAACTGAACTCTGATGTCAATTCATATGAAGATACAAATTTTCCCAAAATTCCTCACGACAAGAACCTAACATAATATTCTTGAATAATATCCGTACTGACCTTCCCTATATCTTTGTACCCGAGATCAACGCACATATTTTAATAGATACAGGCAGTTCAAGAAGCTTGATGAATCCCGTACTAGCTCATAAATTCTACAAAAATTATTTGACAAATGAATTATTCAATATTCAAACAGCCCATGCAATGAGTCATCACAACGGAATTGTTAATATTCCACTTTTTAGCATTTTCAACACAAAAGAATCCCATAAATTCTATTTATTCAATTTCTCACAAAAATACGACGGCCCTATTGGTGCCGACCTATTAAATCAACTAGATGCCAATATCAATCTAAAAACTTGTTAATTGATTACCCCTCTAACAGAAATTCCAATAATTTATGGAAATCAGCAAAAACCTTCGAAAATTAGTTACAATAACTTCCAAAATTATTCTATAACAGTCGAGCCTAGAACACAACAAGTTATAAAGTTACCGGTTAAACTGCAAAATGGCATAGGTCTATTGAATTATACTAAATTCGGCAACAAAACCGAAATGCCTAAAGCTCTAGTGAATGTTTTCAATCATTTTGCCATAACTACTCTAATTAACTCTAATGATCACCCGATCAGAATCAGAATAAACGAACCCTTTGATATTGAACCACTTAATACATGTGATGTCAACTTTTGCGATAACATGGAAATCGACGAAATCAATGATACCTCATACGATAATATTCCGAAGGACAATCAGAAAAATTTGAGACTTGATCACTGTAATTCCGAAGAAGTTGATGAAATCAAAAAGTTATGTTCCGAGTTCCGAGACATCTTTTACTGCGACGAATTACCACTGACTTTCACTAATAAAATACGACATTGTATCAAACTGACGAACGACACGCCAATATTTACCAAAAGTTACCGCTATCCCGAGGTACACAAAGCCGAAGTCAAAGACCAGGTGTCAAAAATGCTTGAACAGGGTATAATTCAAAATTCGACATCTCCTTGGTCCAGCCCTATCTGGATTGTACCAAAAAAGATGGACGCCTCTGGTAAACGCAAATGGCGTATGGTGATTGATTATCGGAAGCTAAATGAACGAACTGTTGACGATGAATATCCGTTACCAAATATATCGGATATTCTCGATAAACTAGGTAGGAGTCAGTATTTCACCACCCTAGATTTAGCCAGCGGTTTCCACCAACTGGAAATGGAACCAGAGGACAAACAAAAAACTGCATTCTCCACCGAAAATGGCCACTACGAATTCAAACGAATGCCGTTTGGGCTCAAAAATGCTCCATCAACATTTCAGCGTGTGATGGATAACATTTTACGTGGCCTGCAGAATGAAATCTGCCTAGTTTACTCAGACGACATAGTTGTTTTTAGCACTTTGTTACAAGAACACATTCACCGACTAAGACAAGTATTTACACGACTCCGGGAATCAAACTTTAAATTGCAGCTAGACAAATCGGAATTCCTACGGAAAGAAGTTCAATACCTCGGACATGTAGTGACTACAGACGGAGTTCTACCAAATCCTGAAAAAATTTCTGCTGTTTAAAATTTCCCAATTCCTAGAACTCCTAAAGAAATTAAATCCTTCTTGGGACTCTTAGGATATTACCGCAGATTTATCAAGGATTTTGCCAAGATAACAAAACCTTTGACGATTTGCCTAAAAAAAGATAATAAAGTTACTCACTCCACAGATTTCATTAACGCTTTCGAACATTGCAAACAGCTCTTGGTGAATTCTCCTATATTACAATACCCCGATTTCGAAAAAACTTTCATTCTGACCACTGATGCCAGCAATTATGCTCTTGGAGCCGTTTTGTCTCAAGGAAACATTCCGAACGACAGGCCTATTGCATATGCATCTCGGACATTGAATGACAGTGAATGCAAATACTCTACTATCAAAAAAGAATTGCTTTCGATAGTCTGGGCTTGCAAATATTTTCGGCCATACTTGTATGGCAGGCGATTCAAAATTTACACCGATCACAGACCACTTGTTTGGCTCTTCAATTTGAAAGAACCCAATAGCAAGCTAGTGAGATGGAGGCTCAAACTCGAAGAGTTTGATTACGAAATCATTCATAAAAAAGGCAAACAAAACACGAACGCCGACGCATTATCGCGAATTCAAGTTAACGCCCTAGAGAATGAGAGTACAATCAATAACCCATGAGAAGTAAACCAAGAAATACTACAGTACCTCCAAAATTTATCAGAAAACGTCATGGACTACAACGAACAACAACCAAGTACATCGAACGAAAATGACAACAGACCACCGAATCCTGACCCTGACCCTGACCCTGACGAGGATATTTCTCAAACTGTACATTCCAATGTGGATAATGATGACGTCAATGCCGGTATACCTATCTTGGACGACATTATAAATAACAAACAATATCAAATCATCATTTCAAAAAGCGCACACAATCGACTAGAGGTATCGGAAGATAACTTTGCAAATCATAAAATTTTACAAGTCAAAATGCCAAAATCAAAAGATAATTTAATCTTCGAATTACTGCGAGATTATACCACCGCTTCTAAAGTTTTTTATATATATTTTCACGATGATTCAATGTACGACGATTTTTCTAAAATATACAAAGGAAATTTCCATGAATCCGGATTAAAACTCATCAAATGCACAAAATTAGTTAATTCAGTAAAAGAAAACGAAGAACGTCTCATGTTGATTAAACACCAGCATGAAGGCAAGAGTAACCATAGAGGTATCAGCGAAACTGTCGAAAAATTAAAAAGAAATTACTATTGGCCAAATATCGAAGATGACGTCACGAAATATATAAATGATTGCCAAATTTGTCAGACTTCAAAATATTCCCGAAAAAATCCATATGTCCCGTTAGTCTTGACCGAAACAGTAGGAAAGCCATCTCAACTTCTTCATGTTGACAGTTTCAAATTCGACAATCAAGATTTCGTCACAATAATTGACGCTTTTTCTAAAGTTGGACAGGCGATACCTATAGAAGGTAAAACTGCAATAGAAGTCTGTGAAGCCCTACTTAACTATTTTTCCTTCTACGGACTACCCGACAAAATAACAATGGATAACGGTCCCGAATTCAAAAACGAAACCGTCAAGGAATTGTTGAAGACTCATAATGTTGATTTACACTTCACCACGCCCCTCCACCATGAATCAAATTCACCTGTCGAAAGATTCCACTCTACCTTGATAGAGCATTTGCGAATTCTTAGACAAAAACACGATAAGGATGTCATTATAACTCTTATGAAATACGCAATAATAGCCTATAATAATTCACTTCATTCATCAACAAAATTCACACCTCACGAATTAACCTTCGGTCATACGAACTCTCGGGACCCCTCCGACTTAATAGAAACATCATTTTATGCAGATTACGTAACTAACCATAGAGAAAAAATCCGTCACCTGTACGAAAATATAACGGACAAAATGAGGAATGCCAAACAGAAGGTTATAGATAAAAGAAATTCTGAAGGTCCAGAACAATTTCAGTTCAGGGTAGGACAAACAGTATATAAATCCAATTAAAAACGCAATAAAAAAGAGAATAAATTCAAAGGTCCATTTGAGATAGTACAAATTCTGAAAAATAATAAAGTGAAACTCAAAAACAAATCTAACGATAAAACAGAAACATTGCATATAAAAGAACTCAGGATCCCCGTTGTTACAGATCGATCCCCTTCACCAGAACAGAATTAGGATACTCGAAATTTCATGACCTTAATGGAAACCCTGGTCTGCTGCCACTGAAGTTAGGAAACGCACAAAATGTCATCAGTTATTGGTCATTTATTCAAATCTTCGATACCAGTGATGTCATCAAAGAATTCAGAACACTCGAGAGCAACTTTGTACGACTCAAATCCGCATTAGAAAATTCAACCAGTCATCAACGGGAATTCCATAACTCTTATATTTGGTAACCATGCTCGAAAAGAAGATTCAGATGCAAATTCATCAAATAAATCCTACTTCGAACACCAGAACAAAAATGAGCCTATTTGACGGATTAGGTACGATAATCAAAACACTGACAGGGAACCTCGATCATGAAGATGCTGAGAAATACGATGAAGCCATTTCTCAACTGTCTAACAATCAGAATAAAATCAAAAACATCCTTCGAGAACAAATCACAATCCTTCAGTCATCAACAAAAAAATTCAATGAAATTTCAAGAAATATAAGTCACAACCAATTAGTCTTGGAATCCAGGATAATGCAAATAGAGCAATCAATCAGTCAAAAGTCAATTCAAGAAATGGGAGACCGCCGCTATTTTTTGGTTCAGATGCTCATATCCCAAATTATGTCGGCCTTTCAAACAATATACGATATATTTGAAAAAATTGAGGTAGCAATTACGTTTTCAAAATTAGATACCCTTCAGTAATCGAGCCCAAAGAATTGCTAGATGAAATCGAACCTATCAGTGAACATTTACAGCCTAATCGATTCCCAATCGAACCAACTTTGGAAAATGTTCTAGTGATCGAAAAGATAATAAGAATTAAGAGCTATACAAAAGGTAACCAAGTTGTATTCATTATTGAAATCCCAGTAGTAGAAGCCGAAAATTTCACCTACTTCATCTTTATCCCCTACCAACGTCAACAAATAATCAAAACAGAATCGTCATTCCTCGGTCCAAATACCTAATCCTTAACGAACACAATTACGTATTTTTCGACACCAGATGCAAAGAAATATCCAATCAAGATTTTTTATGCCATGAAACTAATTCCATAACACTAAGCGACGAAGCTCCTTGCGAAATCCAAATGCTCAGATTCTCCGAGAAGATAACAAACTGCCATCCAGTTGCCATCGAAATGAACGAAATCAAAGTTCAAAATTTGGAAGGCCAAAAATGGATTATAGTCTCTCCCAACGAGGCTGTTGCTGTACAAAGATGTGGACAGAAAAAAGAAAACGTGCCGTTGAAAGGAACTTTCGTGTTAGAACTAAATTCGTACTGTGAAGTGACCCCCAAAAACTATCATTTAAAGAACTATAACAACCCAAAAACTATTTTCGAAAATATAAAATTACCAAGGTTATCAATGGACAGTAGCCCATCAGTTTTATCGAGAACCCGCTTTGTACCTCTCAAATTGGAATCAATCAACCTAGGAGATACAAATAATATACAGAGCGCTCTGGATCTCCAACTTCAAGCTATCAGTGAAATCCAATCAGATAGTACCATCCATTACGATAAAATCAGCATTTGGACCATTATTCTATACGTTGGGATGATAATGCTGATAGTTTACGTTATTTACAAGAATCGTAACTTGTTCAGTAACCTCCGAAAAACTCCCGAAAACATAAGCCCACCATCAAATGACCAGGAACCGAAGGCCAAAGAAAAGAGGAACCCTGTAGTACCAAAACCAAGGATAGTTGTCTGACGTCACAAAACTTCCAGTTTATGCTCGTCTCTACCGCAGGGAGGAGTTATGTCATGTCAAAGCCCTAGAATTGCTGAATCCGATCGACCTCGAGTTAGACGACCCCAGTATTTCCAAGATCCTGCTAACCCGAGATCGCTGACTAAACATTAAGCACTTTGTCGAACATAATTTCCCATGTAATTCAGATCAGATTGAAGGTAGACTTTGAAGTAAACGTTTGTCTCTGTATTTCCGAATAAAAATTGTTTTTTAAAAACTCTTTCGTGGTTTGCCAACACTTAACTCGCATAGAGATTCCTTTCGTTTTTCACTTTCTCGTATTCATGAAAATATTATCTGATAATATTCGTTAATCTGTGTAGATAGTAAACCTTTTGCGAAGAGTGTTCCGTTTCGTCTATAGTTTCCTTTTATTTATGTGAATAGATGATATCAACCTTCTTCTTGTTTCCTCCCAAGGAATTTGATTTTATTCATTATGAGGGTGTGAATACTAACCCTTTTCCGTATAGAGTTTCCTTTCGGTTTTGATTTCCTCATATAAATATTATCTGATGATATTAACCTGGCTTCTCGTTTCCTTCAGGGTGAAATTATTGTTTTCATTATCAAGGGTGGAATTACTACCCCTTCGACGGCAACGAAGAGATTTTCCTCCAGTATACAGTATGGTTATATTGATTATAATTTTTTGTGTCCATATCAACCTGGCTTCTCGTTTCCTTCAGGGTGAAATTAGTTTTTTCAACATTGAGGGTGGAATTACTACCCATTCGACGGCACCGAAGAGATTTTTCTTTAGTTTACAGTATTGTTATATTGATTATAATTTTTTGTGTCAATATCAACCTGGCTTCTCGTTTCCTTCAGGGTGAAATTATTTTTTTCATTATTAAGGGTGAAATTACTACCTCTTCGACGGCACCGAAAGATTTTCCTTCAGTATACAGTATTGTTATATTGATTATGATTTTTTGTGTCAATATCGACCTGGCTTCTCGTTTCCTTCGGGGTGAAATAATTTTTTTCATTATTAAGGGTAGAATTACTACCCCTTCGACGGCACCGGAGATATTTTTCTTTAGTATACAGTATTGTTATATTGATTATAATTCTTTTTTCCATTATCAAGCTGGCTTCTCGTTTCCTTCAGGGTGAAATTATTTTTTTCAACATTGAGGGTGGAATTATTATCCCTTCGACGGCACCGAAAAGATTTTCCTTCAGTATACAGTATTGTTATATTGATTATAATTTGTTGTGTCGATATCAACCTGGCTTCTCGATTCCTTCAGGGTGGAATATTTTTTTTCATCATTAAGGGTGGAATTACTACCCCTTCGACGGCACCGAAGCGATTTTTCTTCAGTATACAGTATTGTTATATTGATTATAATTTTCTGTGTCAATATCAACCTAGCTTCTCGTTTCCTTCAGGGTGAAATTATTTTTTTCATTATTAAGGGTGGAATTACTACCCCTTCGACGGCACCGAAGAGATTTTTGTTCAGTATACAGTATTGTTATATTGATTATAATTTTTTATGTCAACATCAACCTAGCTCCTCGTTGTCTTCAGGGTGAAATTATTTTTTTCATTATTAAGGGTGGAATTACTAGCCCTTCGACGGCACCGAAGAGATTTTCCTTCAGAATAGAGTATTGTTATATTGATTCAAATTTTTTGTGTCAATATCAACCTGGCTTCTCGTTTCCTTCAGGGTGAAATCATTTTTTTCATTATTAAGGGTAGAATTACTACCCCTTCGACGGCACCGAAGAGATTTTCCTCCAGTACACAGTATTGTTATATTGATTATAATTTTTCGTGTCAATATCAACCTGGCTTCTCGTTTCCTTCAGGGTGAAATATTTTTTTTCATTATTAAGGGTGGAATTACTACCCCTTCGACGGCACCGAAGAGATTTTTCTGCAGTATAAAGTATTGTTATATTGAATATAATTTTTTGTGTCAACATCAACCTGGCTTTCCGTTTCCTCCAGGGTGAAATTATCTTTTTCATTATTAAGGGTGAAATTACTACCCCTTCGACGGCACCGGTGAGATTCTCCTTCAGTATACAGTATGGTTATATTGATTCTAATTTTTTGTGTCAATATCAACCTGGCACCTCGTTTCCTTCAGGGTGAAATTATTTTTTTCATTATTAAGGGTAGAATTACTACCCCTTCGACGGCACCGAAGAGATTTTCCTTCAGTATACAGTATTGCTATATTGATTCAAATTTTGTGTCAATATCAACCTGGCTTCTCGTTTCCTCCAGGGTGGAATTATTTTTTTCATTATTAAGGGTGGAATTAGTACCTCTTCGACGGCACCGAAGAGATTTTCCTTCAGTTTACAGAATTGTTATATTGATTCTAATCTTATGTCTCAATATCAACCTGGCTTCTGGTTTGCTTCAGGGTGAAATTATTTTTTTCAACATTGGGGGTAGAATTACTACCCCTTCGACGGCACCGAAGAGATATTCCTTCAGTATACAGTATTGTTGTATTGATTATAATTTTTTGTATCAATATCAACCGGGCTTCTCGTTTCCTTCAGGGTGAAATTATTCTTTTCATTATTAAGGGTGGAATTACTACCCCTTCGACGGCACCGAAAGATTTTCCTTCAGTATACAGTATTGTTATATTGATTCAAATTTTTTGTGTCGATATCAACCTGGCTTCTCGTTTTCTTCAGGGTGAAATTATTTTTTTCATTATTAAGGGTGGAATTACTACCTCTTCGAAGGCACTGAAGAGATTTCTCTTCAGTATACAGTATCGTTATATTGATTCTAATTTTCTGTGTCAATATCAACCTGGCTTCTCATTTCCTCCAGGTTGTATTTATTTTTTTATTATTAAGGGTGGTGTTACGGTTTACTTCGGAGACTGTTCGGTTATTTGTTGAGAACCTGAATGGCGGAGAGAAAGACAGTAAACAAATGAGTATACTCATTCAATCTTCATTCATTTATTCTCGATAACAAGCAATATAAAGATATTCATGTTCTACTTCCTCGTCAGGGCAGGTACTCGGTGTTCAGATCATTATATTTTCCTGGGCCAACTCCATGAGAACCTATCATCTATAATAGAAAAACATTATTAATTATAGAATTGTAGAAAATCGATAATATTCGTCAATAGCATTCAGGCATCACAAGTATTATTCCATAAATTATTCAACTAGGTATCGCCTACCTCTGAAGGGACGTAGCCGAGTTCAGTCTTCAATCTTTGAACTATAGCCAAGTGGTGGCACCAAGGTGGAATGGGGCCTTCATCATGAATTTACTCTAGCTCCAAACAATAACAATTACCGATTAGTGCAAGATCTCTAAGTTGATAGTAATATCAATATATCCTCTGCTGACTGCTGCTCATATGACGTTCATATCATTGTTGTCAGCCAGTCAACCTTGATGTCATCTCAAAACATCTTCTTCTTCCTTTTCCATTAATTGCGAAGTCCTTATAACCCACCGTAAGGTCTTTTCCGTCTTATGACACAGATTCAACGAGAGTTCAGTGTCGGGGCGGTGCCGATCATTACGCTACGCTGCAGCTATGGCTCCACGTACGGATTAAGGTCGAGTCGCAGAGAACTTGAGTGAACGCTAGGTGAGATTCACAGAACGATTATTCGTTTTCGAGATCTCATCACTACGTAAATTGTGTACTGGCCTAAATTGTTATTCCTGAGGGTAACCCGACTTAATCGGTTGAGGTATGAAGCTTTATAGTCTGGAGACTCCCTCGACAGCCTTGCTAATGTTCGCACGACTGGCGAGAGACATGGGTGGTCTTTGATCTCGTTAACGGTCGGCTTGTCGGATTCCCTGTCAGGTTCTTGTCAACAGTGTCAGTTGACATCGGACAGGGTGTCCAACTTAATCGTGGTTTCAGGAAGGAATTCCCCAGAGATTCGGTGAGAAGGTGGGAAAAAAAAGGGGGCCCTCTCTTTTTTTTTTGCTGATGTCCATGTGGAAGCATTAGCAATCGCAATTTTGCGGATTTTTGCCTTCAAATTTGGTTGGATTCGAAAAAGTATTTATTCAATCTGAGTCATTAGTACAGATTATCACTTTAATAGTGGATTTATATAATTGTGACAATCCAATCAGTTCATCTTGAGGAAGCTTCTTTGAAGCCACACTGCGAGGCCATCCTTCATCCAGGTATGTAACTTTTTCAGTCTGCACCCCCTTTCACCAAGAAAAGTTGTAGTAGGGACCAACTGAGTTCTTGACCCTTCTAGGGCCTCTTCTTCCTCTTGTACCCCCTCTGGTACACCTCCTGTCCTGGTCTTAGCTAGACAAGGTATAGATCCGGCTATCAGGTATACAGGCCTGGACATCTGTAGCTGGGACTTGATTTCTACCCATAATATTTGGACCAAGGGATGTTCCACCCTGCTATCCGTTCCCAGTTTTCCCCATCTGGAACAGTCTACTGGAGGACTGGATTATAGTGTACTGTCTCACCAGAGAAGTACCAACAGATAAGACATCATTTTTTCTTTAATTTAAATCACCTGCATGATACATTAATGGATCTCTGAGAGTATGCTTCATGCTTGTGCTTGTGTGCAGTATTTTCCTGAAAGTAGTATAAAGTAGAATTATTGCTTGAAGATATAGCTATTGTCATGATACTTACGCTTTGCGGAATGATTAGCCTTATAATGGTAGCATTGAAACCCAAACAAGCTTGTCATTAAAGTGATACTTTTTTGCCTCAGTCTGAGAGCCCCCTTCATGCGATTTGGTATACCAAAGTCCATGGATTTCATCCGGCAGGTAAAGGTATCTAATTGAATTATTCATTGGACAATACAGGTCGTTGAATTATAATATAATAACACTGTATTTCATAACAAACCATCATAGTTCAGGACCTTACACATAACCTCAAACCTTACATAACTTATGCATAACTTGTAACTTCTTCATTTTTTGTTTGTATGTTAGGGGATTATCA